ATGGAGTAGTATATTTTCTGTTTCATTCTCATATAAAGAGCGCAACATTTTCTCAGGTTTCAGGGCAACGCAAAGCAAGAGTTCCCATATAAAAGGGCAGAACTTTTTTTGAGAAAAGAAAACGCTATTAGTTGTGGCTGAACTTGGGAAAGACACAAAAACGATTACCACTGATTGCCACAATTATTCAAGAAATCCAATACCTTCTAAGTACCAGCTTTCTATTGTTTTTCACGTCAAAAAGACATAGAGTCGTGGGATTACCATTTCATGCCAAAGTACTTTTTACCTCCATTCCTTTTCCGTTTTTTCCTTCACAATTTAAAATCACATACCTTTCTAACTAACTATTGCTCTAAACCGCTTAAAAGCTTTCCTGTTGCCTAAAAGCAAGCACATTTCATTGCTTACAGTTATATTTTTAAGTGAACGATCTAAGCGCTTTTTGTTGCGACTTAAATGCAACAAATGCCCCACTCAATGCTGGAGTTTTAAAAGGCACTTAGAAATCATGTCATGCATCTGCCAATAAACTGTTTAATCTTATCGCACAAGTTGCGAATCGGACGAATTGGGGGAAGGAATACGGAACTCTACGCGTTCACCGGCGTTTACGCGCAGCTTTTAATTAAGACATGAAAATATGGAAGAGCGAAGGCATAAGTACTTACTTATTTACCCACACACTTGCGCTGGCCGGGGCGGTAAGATGCATTTTCGTGGATCTCCATCTGCAACTGCAGTAAGTTAGCTTATCTGCGCCAAATGCTTTTCCACTTCCATATTACACAGCCATTGATATGAGTGCGCTTTTAGAATGCGTCAATTGTGCTGCTGACTCTAGCTGGCCGCAGAGATCACTTCTTTCTTGCTTGCACACACACATTTCGAACGCAGCCACCAGCATCTACTTTGTACTTTGTAGTGAATCGAATCAATACAGCTTGGTACTCATAGTTATGGAGAACCACTTAGATATTTTACTCGCTTGTTTACATTGGCACAAAGTGACAACAACATTTGATGTAATAGCTATGCGCTGTCACTGTTATGGCGCGAATATTGCGCATTGCACTTTCATTCGGGAATGCACACAGTTATACATTAAATAGATGGCTGGCGCGTCAAGCGAGACCAACTTAAGCTCAGACACACGGCAGTCGGCATACCTCTCCGCTGCAAGTGATGCGAAGTACCGGTACCACCAACAGCACAACACCTCGGCGGCTGGCTGCTAAGCGCGCTAATCTGCAGCACCCGGCTGGGTATTGGCAATGCCATCGCCGCCACCAAGCTGACTTCCTGTACTGTAATACTAACTATCTTGGCGCAAAAGCTGACATTTCGCATGCGAAAATAAATTAGTTTTCCATGTTGCTTTGTCAGTTATCACATCGAAATGCTTGTTTTATATCGGTGAATTCTAACATTTTGCGTTCGACGCCACCACGCCACCACGCCACCACCTGCGCGTTGCCAGCGCGCGCCCAGCGCAGCGCGTAGCGACGGTGGTGTCTGCAATGCCAACTTGCTTGATTGCTTGTTTGTCAGCTTGTTTGTTGTTCTACTACGTGAGCGACACAAGCGTTGCGTAACAAAACAACAACAACAACATTTCTTCTTTCTCCTCCATTTTTGGCCTGCGTTGCAGTTCTGTTGATTTACCGCCAGCTAATGCTATTCTTAGACGACGCTGCCACACCATAGACCACTTACTTACACACATACATACATACAATTGCTGCATTGACATTGCACTCGGCGGATATGGTTGGTACTTGCATCGTACTTGCATTTGTTTGTACATAAAATCGCCGCACGCAGTCAAAATAAAGTGTCTTCTGCGGCTATTTAAGTTGTTTTATGGCCAAAAGATTGTGAAAACGCAATGGGATTGGTTGAAAGCATTAGGCGTTAGGTGGTTTGGTTGGTGCCGTTGGTACATATAACTAAAACAAGGAATATGCTGGCACGCAAGCGCTATTTATCAAACACTCTCAACCGCACAAAGTACTCGTACGAACGCTGTATTTTCGAAGTTATGCAATCAGCTACGCATGCGCGGACGCAACGAGTCACGTGAGTAAATTGCAATCAATTTCCAGCAGAAAGTAATTTGCTACAGCGGTAAAGGTTGTTTTTGTGACAAATTGAATTGGGAGGGGATGTGAATATTTATTCGAAGGTACATTACAAGAAGAGATAATATTTTGATTATGATTAAACATCCACTGAGAAATCTGCTGTAACAGTAAAAAACCCACGAATTCTGTAAAGAAGCAATGAGTATTTCAAGAAGGTGTATATAACTACAAATGGTTTAAATTTGAACTTTAAAATATCAACAATTTTCCCCCATAAGTGACCGACATTTTAATTTACAAAATATCTATAAACCAAAGGGAACTTTTAAAGGGTAAAGGACGATCTAACCTCAAATGTAAATATGCTGTATTGAAGGTAAATAAAATTGTTATCGAGCCCCTTCTGATAACGGAAAAAAATAAGCGGTCAAGTCACCTCAGTGACGATGAAGGCAGCTTCGGTTGAAATTGTGGTCGTTAAGGCCGAAAGAGAAGGACCTTTTACCACCCACTGTTAAGGCAGAGGGTGCACTCCAGCCATTAAATCGACAGAAATCGGAAGTGGCGAAAGAGTTACCTGAAGGCGAGTATTAACTATAATTATATTCTTGAAATCAACAATCTCCTCTCTGGCCACTCGTTGCTAGCGAACTGCTTAAAGTATTTCGTAGAGCTTCACCAAATGACGGCTGAAGCTGAGCTTTTCAGGTAAGCCTGTGTATAAATAAATGCAGAAATGAATGGATATGGTACTTTTCACAAGCAAGTATAAGTGGAAGGGAATTGCAGAAGAAAGGCCGACAAAGGCCAGCAACGCGCTATGTGAAGGCAAAAAAATGCTTCATCGGTTAAATCTGCTGTGGTGAAGCATTGGAGCTATGCGGCGGTAATTAAACCATTATTACTTTTTGGGGCTCTGGGGTGGTGGGTCACATCGCGAAATCAAGTAAATTTTTTGAAAGGAGATATAGTCTGGCTTCCTTATTCAAAAACCGGGACAACTCCAAGTTCTGCTTTTAAAAGATACTCAATTTATCGCCAATAAAGATTACAGTTTAAAAGATCTACAGGTGAATTTATCGAAAAAAACCTCCAGGCATAGCTCCATAATCAAGATGAATTTATGCCCGCATTTGATAGATGGCTGCACGTCTCGACTGAGTGAGATTCCAGACCAAAACGGAAGAAATGGGTTGACGTAAAGACAAATTCAAATGTCAAATTTCTGTTTTAACTACGTCCCGTTTTCTCATGTGGGCAACTGCTGTCCTAACATATCATTCTGAAAATGGTATCAAGCCAATCAGATCGATCTGTGCCCAATATAAATAGCGCGGTAAAAGGAGAACTGATTTATCAAACTACGAAATGACAGCTGATGTTAAGACAGCGCTGGTAAGATATTTGGCAAAACAGATATGGTTTTGCGGTCTCCACCTGAAATTTTTGTCTTAACACAGTTTTTTTAACAGAATTTGTAGAAGGTGCAGACGTAGGGTAAAGGCTTATAGAAGCCAGCTTATGGGTCAAAAGAAAAACTTAGGGCATTCGCCTAGCCTATGGATATTGGCGGTAATTACGATATCTATCAGTACCGACTGGTGTAAACCGTCAATCACTTTTGAACAGAAATACGAAGTCGTAATACCAACTGTTACAGCAAACATCACCTTTGGTGTGGCGCGATAAATTTTAATGCAGTAAAAAACGCAGTACATTGTATGCAAAAAACACAAAGTTTTGTAAATAAAAAAATAATTTCGTTCAGAAAATATTATAATACACTGATTTTTCTTTTAAAAAATGGGAGGGTCAAACGCCATTTTCGGTATATAGTTTGTTCGCCATTTTTGCTTAGAATCGAACGCAGAATCCGAATATGTCATAAACTTTTTTCGAAATTTAAGTACTCCATCCTAATGTATATCATAAATTTTTGCTCCTTTTCCCTATATGCATTTGACGAGTATTTCCACAAATACGTACCTATTGTCCGTTAATTATTTATTTTTGTTATTTGCTAATATTCAGTATGCTCTTGCTGTCAATGACCTTTTTGCCAGTGAAATTGATGCGATTCTTATCTCGATTGCATCTGCCACATAGTATTTATGTATGTGGCTTGTGATGCTGCAGATTCATCATTGATATGACTTTTTGCATTGTCACAGCATTCTTTGTGTCCCTTTGCCATTCGTTGGTGGTCGCGAAGGATTGCTTCGTCTGACCGGGGCGCAGCCGATTGTGTTAATCAGATTAATAAGACTATGCTGTGATGAGTTGCAACTGGAGCGCCGACACAAGCGCAGGAAGTTATCAGATAAGATTTACTATGTGTACATTCCGTGAAATTGATTTCAAATAATAATATGGCTGGACATGTGAATTTCATAATGCTCAATCAGGGCAGTTTCAGTAAAGCGATTGCAATACATATCGCATACATGTGTACGTAAATATGTATTACAATGCAACTAATGCTTTTGTTCAGTCGCTGTACGCTGAAAAATTTCAGTATTTTTAGACAGAGTAAATTCTTAAGTAACTAAATCATTAGGGATGCAAATTTTCAAAGCCAACATCGATACATCGATATTTCGATGTATCGTAAACACTAACATCGATGCCGAAAAAAATCGCCCCAAAACTATCGATACATCGATATTTTCCGATGTTTCTCTTTTTTAATAAGTATGTTACAGGTACTTCATGATTTGCAGGTTTTTACGTTTTTACAGGAAGCTGTTAACGTACGCCACCTTCCATAAGGTGTCTTACTGGCGAAAACCGCTTTACCTGTAAAACCTGGAAATCGAAGACCCCCCTGCCCCTACCTGGCTACGCCCATGCCTGGATCTGACTTAATGCTTGTTAAAATTTTAAGAAAAACCTAGGGCTGGTTTCTCCAACTCAACTTAACTTAGTTAAGCCATTTTTTGGGCTTATTCATTTTCACCATCTAGGCTAACCTAAGCCGAAAGTTAGCCTACCCTTTAGTTGGCTTATTCTTGACTTACGACAGTGTTGCTGTAGTGCACAATGTAAATGAAAGAAATAGTACTTATTTCGTTTGTACAGCTATAGCAACCCCGCTATAATAATCTTGGCGTCTTTATTTGAAGTGGTTTATATTTCTGTGTTAAATGTAAATTTTTGTAAATAATAATGGATTTTGTAGATTCAGATGAAAGTGATTTCGATTTTGATGTTCTACAAGTAATCGTTCTTCGACGAAAAAGAAAAATAAAAGAACGTCCTGATTTTTTTCATTATTACGATGATGTTGATTTTCGTGATCGATTTCGTATGTGCAAAGATGCTGCTTGGTTTATTTTTTCTTTAATAAAAGAAAAAATTTATATTGGAACACGGTAAGATCATATCATTTGACGAATGTAAATGTTTTTTTCCTAAATTACTTTTCCATTGGCAGCAACAACGCTATGCAACCACATCAAATGTTTTTCATTACACTCAGGTTCTATGCATCAGGATCTTTTCAGCAAACTGTGGCAGATCTTTGCGGCGTTTCAAAAACAAGTGCATCACGGGCTATTAAACTTGTATCTCATCATATTGCTTCTTTACGGGCAGATTTTGTTAAACTCCCTCAGACGGAACAGGAGCGTTTGAGCACACAGGCTGCTTTTAAAGAAATTTCAAATTTTCCGCGTGTAATTGGCGCAATGGATTGCACCCATGTTAAAATCATGTCGCCAGGTGATTATGTAAGATTACTAGTTAAACAAGTAAGAAAGGCTAAGTTCGGGCGGAGCCGAACATTAAATACCCGGCGCAAGTATTAAATATATGTTTTTTCACCCTTCCGAAACCTTCCGCTAGATGGTAAGCCGAGTTGTAACAATTTTGAGTAAATTAGCGTCCTTCAATTTCGAAATATTTAAGTTTCAAGCATTTCTTAAATTTACCGTTATATGAGAATCGGCCGTTATATTAGTCCGATTTCAATAATTTTCAACGTTTTGCTTACACGTGGCAAGTACAATAACCATACCGAGTTTGGTACAAATTGGTAGAACGGTTACCGGTATACTTATATGTGATCATAAGTGGGCGGTGCCACTCCCATTTTCCAAAATTTTACCATAAACGTATTTCTTGGTAAAGAATTGTTGCAAGCATCAATTTTGAAAAAATTAGCTTCAATATCACTGGACCACAAATTTCAACTTTTTCTCTTTACCAGAAACGCCGTTATGAAATTCTTATGTAAAATCACCCCCTGATTCCGAAAATCAAGGTTATTTTTAATTCTATGGTACCGTTTTTGAGATATTTGCAATTTACCGTTTTTGCAAAAAAAAAAAAATTGGTTCCACTTTATCATATATATCTCAAGAACGAATTAAGCAATTCCAAAACGGTTTGAAGCTTTTAAAAGGTAATAAAATTTTCTATAAACTGTGCATACAACACTTTTTGCTAGGCCCTGTAGATTAAAAGATAACGAACAATCATTACCGATTTTTTCAATTTTTTTTGTAAAAATATAAAAAAAATTGTACTTTGCGGGGAAGGATCTCGAAAACCTTTTATTTTTTTGCAGATTTTTTTTTTCTCCCTAAGCTCTGTTGTATTACAAAAAAAATAAGCTATCATCGAAGAAAATCGATGCAAAACTACGTAAGTTATAAGCGATCAAATAAAAATACCCAGGTTGCGCAACTTCAATGTATGTACCTATACATACATACATATATTAAAGGTATAAAGTGCAAGTGAGATATTATCCGGATAAACGAATAACACGATAACAATGATAACACTTTTTCTTTAAATAAATCAAATAGTACTTTTAATACTCGAATTGTATTATAGTAGGTAGAGTGGTTGCATCGAAAGGAAGAGTGGTTGGGTTCGAAACCTGCTGTAGGCATGTAGTTATAAACATGTATTTCCGTCAGTTATGGGTAAGTATGCAGGTAGATTTTCAAAATTATAAGACACAGAAAATTTCTAAAGCCTACATCTAAAACAGGTAGTATTTTCTTTTCCCGGCTTGTTATAAAAAGGAACCTTTCTGTCTAGGTAAGATTTGATTTTTTCAATTTTATTCTTGTTCCGAGTATAAATATGAGTTACCGCCCTATTCCCACACCACTGACAAAATTCATCATATGACTATTGTCACAATTACTGCGCCTAAAACACAATATAAACATTGTTTCGCCGTTGTCACTTACTCAGTAGGTCATAACAATAAAACTGACAATTGTCATACGACAGCTTAAAATAAATTCGCGGCATAGTATTAGGCGCAGTAGTAGAGGCAATAGTCAGCTGCTGAGTTTTGTCAGTGGTGTGGGAATAGGGCGCTTAATGCGCTTTGAAACTTCATAACATCTTCAAGGCTCGCCGGAGATAGTTCAGTTCATAAGTCTAATTTCAAAACCGTGATTTATTAAAAAAAAATAAAATGAGTAAAAGGAAGCGAGAATTTGAGTGTAATAAGGATCCAGATATGTTCTGTTTCATGTGTGGCCAATATACTATCATAAGGCGACGACGAGTGTTCTCAGATCATATCAAAACTTTATACTCCAAGTATTTTGGAATTGAGCCTAAAAATGCTGAAAAACCATGGACACCGAACACTTTGTGTACATCGTGTCGAGTAGAATTGATTCAGTGGGAATCAGGACAACAAACAAAATTTGATACACCAATGATATGGAGAGAACCTACTTGCCATTCAATAGAGTGTTATATTTGTCAAACAAAAGTACTTGGCGTTGGAAGATCAAGAGGAGTAACCTATGCTAGCGTACCTACAGTGACATTACCAATCAAATTAAGATAAAGATTGTTAGAATATAGTATAAACATAAATAAATAAAAAAACAAGTGAGCAGCGCTGTCTTCGGCTATGCCGAAGGCTTCATACCTTTCATGAACATCTGCAAATTTTAGTTTGACAGATTACTGATTTTGATACATCGATAGAGGAGTTACATACTTATATAAAAAATCGCATCTAAACAATCAGAGGTATGGAAGATATACTTTATATGGCACCAATCTAAGTGATTTTCACTGCTATGTGATCGGTATGTAAACCGGTAACACAATTTATTGGGTTTAGTTTCCTACATAAAGGAGATATATCGCAAAAACTGGTATCTGAACAATCAGTGCTATAGGAGATAAAGCTTATACAGCATAGATTTTGACGATTTTCTCAGTAGACTTTGTATTATTATTTATAAAATATCTTACGAAATTTATCGGTTTTAGCTGTTCAAATAAAGGAGTTTTACAGTAAAATCCCATATCTGAACAATCAGATGTATGGAAGATATATGTTGTAGTCACCCGATCCTTGTTATTTTCACTGTAAGTATTCTGTTAATGAGTGAAAATGGTGCGAAATTTCATGTTCCTAACTGCATAAATGGAGGAGATATGATAAAAGACCTCATATCTGAACAATCAGTTGTATGGGGGCTGCAGGTTATAGTGACCCGATCTTCGTTATTTTCACTGTAAGTCTTCTGCTGATAATGAGTGAAAACAGCGCGAAATTTCATGGTCCTAGCTACATAAATGGATGAATTACAACGAAAAATCTCATATCTGAACAATCAGTTGTATGGGAGCTATAGGTTTTAGTTATCCGATCTTTTTAATTTTCACTGTAAGTTTTCTGTTGATAATTATTGAAAACTGTGCGGAATTTCCTGTTCCCAGCTATATAAATGGAAGAGATATAACGAAAAATTTTATATCTGAACAATCAGTTGTATGGGAGCTATAGGTTATAGTGACCCGATCTTTGTAATTTTCACTGTAAGAATTCTGTTGATAATGGGTGCAAGGGCTGCAAAATTTCATGTTCGTAGCTGCTTAAATGGAGAAGTTATAACGAAAAATCTCATATCTGAACAATCAGTTGTATGGGAGCTATATGTTATAGTGGTCCGATTCTTCCGGTTCCGACAAATGATTAATACATTATAAAAATACACCCACCTACCAAATTTGATCCGGATATCTCGAAAACTGAGAGACTAGATTGCATACAAATAGACAGACAGACGGACAGACGGACAGACGGACAGACGGACAGACGGACATGGCTAAATCAACTCAGCTCGACGTTCTGATCATAAAAGTATACATTTTAATGGGTCTATCTCTTTTTGTTCTGGTACTTACAAACATCGGACCAAAGTTATAATACCATTTCATGCTCATGAAAGGTATAAAAAGTTAAAAATATGGGTAAATTCATTCATAAATTGAACTTTTAACTCAATAGAAACAGAGAATAGCTAGATATTTCACTCTTCTTTATACCATACATACGTTTTGAGGTATACGTTGAAATTGCGCAACCTGGGTATTTTTATTTGATCGCTTATAACTTACGTAGTTTTGCATCGATTTTCTTCGATGATAGCTTATTTTTTTTGTAATACAACAGAGCTTAGGGAGAAAAAAAAAGTCTGCAAAAAAATAAAAGGTTTTCGAGATCCTTCCCCGCAAAGTACAATTTCTTTTATATTTTTACAAAAAAAATTGAAAAAATCGGTAATGATTGTTCGTTATCTTTGAATCTACAGGGCCTAGCAAAAAGTGTTGTATGCGCAGCTAATAGAAAATTTTATTACCTTTTAAAAGCTTCAAACTGTTTTGGAATTGCTTTATTCGTTCTTGAGATATATATGATTAAGTGGACCCAATTTTTTTTTTTTTTGCAAAAACGGTAAATTGCAAATATCTCAAAAACGGTACCATAAAATTAAAAATAACCTTGATTTTCGGAATCAGGGGGTGATTTTACATAAGAATTTCATAACGGCGTCTCTGGTAAATTTTGGCCGTCGACCAGTGTATTTAATGATTTATCGAAGATTTTGTATTTCTCTAAATTACCGTTATATGGGATGTGGGCGTGGTTATTGTCCGATTTTAAAAAGTTTCGGCGGTTTTTTATGCTGTACCAAGGCCAACAACTGTGCCAAGTTTGGAAGAAATTGGTGTAGCGGTTACCAAGATATACACATGTAACCATAAGTGGGCGTGGCTACGCCCATTTTCCAAAAATTTATAATATTCTTATTTTTCGTCTAAAACTTATTATAAATATCAATTTTGAGTGAATTATCTTCAGTAGTTACTAAAATATCGCAGTTTTCGTATTTCTGGAAATTACCGTTATATGGGAAGTGGGCGTGGTTAAAGTCCGATTTCGGCCATTTTCAATACCAACCTACCTTGGATTAAGGGAAATCTACATACCAAATTTCGTTGAGATATCTCAATTTTTGCTCGAGTTATCGTGTACACGGACAGACGGACAGACGGACAGACGGACAGACGGACGGACAGACAGACATGGCTTAATCGATTTCTTTTTTCATCCTGATCATTTATGTATACATTTGTCTATATCTATCTCGATTCGTTTTGGCTGTTACAAACAACCGTTATGTGAACAAAATTAATATACCCTTGTGCACAAGTGCGCTCGGGTATAAAAACAATAGTAATAGCACCATTTCTATACAGGAGGTGATGATGGTGAAGTCTTTCGTAACAGAAAGGGTTTTTTCTCGTTCAATGTGCAAACCATATGTGATAGCAATTTAAAAATATTAGACATTGTTGCCCGATGGCCAGGATCGGTTCATGACTCAAGGATTTTCCGTAATTCGCGTATTTGCTACCGATTGGAGGCGAAGGAATTTCTAAATGCAGTCATTGTTGCTGACAGTGGTTATGAAAACACGAACGTCGTGTTGACGCCGCTTTTAAATTGTAGAAATAGAGCAGAAAATCTGTATAATGAGTCGCACATCAGAACTCGAAATTGTATTGAGCGCTCATACGGTGTGTGGAAGCGCAGATTTCCCGTGCTATCCATGGGGATTCGAATGAAGGTCACGACAGTTCCTTACATTATTGTTGCAACAGCAGTACTGAATAATGTTTGCATTCGCTTTAATGATAAAACTGCACCACAACTTGTACCGGAAATTGATGATGCCGTAACTAATGTTTTAACAGTTCCACCAAACCGCTCAAATGAAGGACGTTCTCGAAATGACCAAACAAGAAAAACAATAATAGATACATATTTTGCTCAAATGTAACTTTATTATTATTATTTCTGCAACGACTATTCCATGTGTATGTGAAATCCCCATCTCGCCAGCCAGCCTATTTAAAAGGTTAAAGACGAACATATTTTGGTTTCCCCATAAGGTTAACATTATAATCCAAATGTTTAAAACATTTTTTCTCGAAATCAGGTTTTTCGACTTAGGCGGTTATTGCTCGTGGCCACTGATATATGAATGAATGACTGAGTGGAAGATCGACCTATCTCGGGAGCCAGTTGGAAAACGCCCTATCTCAGAAAACTTTTCAAGAACGCCCTGCTTCAGTATTTGATTGAAGAAGAACGCCCTACTTCAGAATTTTATTGAAGAACGCCCTATTTCAGAATTTTATTGAAAAACACCCTATCCCAGAATTCGGTTCAAAACGCCCTATCTCAAACGAAAATACATTGAAAATGTGCTGAAATAGAGCGGTTTTGAATCGGCAGCTAAAATAGGGTGTTTTTGAACCAAATTTTGAGATAGGCACCCCTATTGCGAGTGTCGACTAGTAGTAGATAAACGACTATTAGTCGACTATCGATTCTCCGTGGTATTTTCAAAGTCGTTTTCTCGTTGAATAAGTGAGTGGGAATAGTTTATAGTCGCACATCCTTTTACAATACAAACAAACAGTTGTAGAAGGATGAGCGACTAAAAACTATTCACAGTCGCATATTGAACGATAAATCGACATTCACAATACCATGGAAAAGCGATAATCGAAAAATAGTCGTTTATCTACTACTAGTCGACACTCGCAATAGGGGTGAGGCTGTTTTTAAATAAAATTCTGAGATAGGGCGTTTTCGAACTGGCTGCCGAAATAGGTCGATCTTCCACTCAGCCATCGATATGTATGTAAATAAAAAATTGGAGGGCAAGAAACTATGGTAAACGACTCCAAAAAAATTAAATTATAAGGGGTATTCACTAAATTGACCAAGTGGTCTGGCACTCTGGCAAAAGAGCAGATTAGCTCAAACAACAACTTTTGTCACAGTCGTTGCTTGAGCTATTCTGCTCTTTTGCCAGAGTGCCAGGCCACTTGGTCAATTTGGTGAATATCCACATATCGTCACCTTAATTCCCAAAGGCCCTAACCAACACTTTTTTCGAAACTGCGTTTTTCACAGATTTTTGTAGGATGTATTACAAGACGCGTTCAGTAAAAATTTTAAAGTGTAAGTTTTTGATAGTTTTTATAATCGGCCCTATTATGGTTGTCGACTTCAACGTCGAGGTAATTTCTTCATAAAAAAAAAGCCATCGTAAGTCCAACTCCAGTAACGCTGACCACAGTTTTTCACTGAACGCGTCTTTCAATACCTCCTACAAAAATCTGTGAAAAACGCGGTTTCGAAAAAAGTGTTGGTTAGGGCCTTTGGGAATTAAGGTAACAATATATAGTTTGATATACAACTTACATCCCATTAGAAAATTATAGATGCTAACCTATATATATATTGTCATGTGGAAAATAATAGGGACACGATATTTTGAACAGGTTTGGCAATTATTCTTTTGTTTGTTTAATGTTTATTATTTTTTTATAAAAATACAGCTAATTATCTAACAAAAATCATATATGTACATATCTTAGACTGTAATATTACATATGTATTAATAAATAAAGTATAACGTAAATAAAAAAACAAAATATTCCATTCAAACAAAACAAAAACAAAAAACTTCGCATATTACTACTACACTGGCGATCAAAACCGGGTGCATGGTGTTTTTTTTAAATATATACAATGATTTCAAAGTTTATAGAGAAGTTGGAGAAATTAAAAAAAAATTTCATTAAAATTTCGAGCTTTTTAGACTGGGTTTAATAAAATTTATGGGTATGTAGTTGGATCTCATGAAATTTTAGTAAAATAAGTGCAAG